AGTCGGAAGTATTGCACATCAATATTTGCACAACCGCGAAGAACACGACAAAGTCGCTAAAGAATGGACTAAACGGTTTGATTTTTTTTTTCAACTATTGATGATGTCACATACACTTAAAAAACTAGAAACTTTATTAATCAATCACTATCAAATTATATATGTTTAGTTATGCTTCTTGACCAAGGGTGGGTTAGTCTTTGAAAGGACCGGGACCGGACGCTGACGAACTAAGGATTTAATCCTTAGTCCATAATCGTCCGGTCCCAGTTCAGATTATGGTCCCAAATGATATAAAAAATTGATAAACTAATAAAAAAATAAAAATAAATAAATAAAATGCCAAATAATAAACTTTTTTTTTCATAAATCTTTACAATTAGTGGCAAAAATATTTTTTACATTTATTTTCCAAGTATTGAAGTACTTGATAATGTTAACATAAAGTGATTTTCTAATTAATAACTGTCCCACTCCCTAATGAAACAAATGTCGAAACCCCAATACAGTAAACTAATCAACGACGTGGCAATACTATAATTAATAATTATTTCTCTTTGGTCATAAGCTGGTGACTGCATGCCTTGTCAGCACTGTCTTTTGTTGTTATCATTCCATTTGCCCTGATCATCTTATTTGTAATAAATATAAAGTTGTTTACGTACTGGAATAATTAAACTTATATGAGGACAAGCAGATATATACTATTTCTAAGGTTGATCTAAAATCATTCAACACCGTAGACAGTGAAGACACTATCATGAAAAAAGAGAGAAAATAAAATTAGTAATTACTAAATTTCCCGGGAACAACCGACATGAGACAATATTAAACGAAACAGCTTTCCTTAGCTTAACTGTCCACTATATAAGTACTTTTTGAGTATTACGAAATTTTCCCTTCGGGCTCAATATGATGTCAGTTCTTTACGAATCTCACTTGAGTAAAAAGTTTTAACATTAAATTTATAACCTCTCTTCGATGATCTCCTGTTGTACATTAAAACTACGGAACTAGAAAAAGACTCTAATAATTAAACTTTCACTCATTATGGTCGCGCATGCACTAAATCTAGCCGTTATTAAAAGAATCGAATTAGTTGATGCATCGATCGAAAAAAATGATATTTTTAAGAACTATATCAAATCTCAACTCATATATGTTTATGTAAAACAAAAATAGAAAGTACATACTTGATACCCGCTATATGATTAAGAGTTGGCTAACTATCCTAGTAAGACTGTATTAACGATGCTTCTTTTAAGGTTATTCAAACGTGCTACCCGTTACCTTTTAGCATCATGATATCTGACACATGGAGCTTTTCGTTTCATCATTGGGAATCAAGTGTACTTGATACATTTATATATACGCAATCATAAATGCATCTATTAAACTAAATGATTATCGTTATTGACCAATTACTGTAAGTGGAATTTCTTACATAATAACGATAACGAGTAAAATTTATTTACCTAACCCTAAAACCGTAAGAAATTCCAAAAATCCACTTAAATTCTGTTCTTACGACATACATAGTTATTATTGTCTTCATTTATCAGCCGCACAGTTTCAAATTCTGTTCAATCAATTTTATATGATCTACATATTTTAAAGTCTTTCTTAATGTATATCAACTTTTTACAAAATTCTTTCTTATGTGATAACCTTTATTTAGAACTCGTATAGAAAATGAAAGATTATTTGGCGGCTATAATGTGCCTAACAAAGTTTGGAGCTATGAGATTATTATTAATAAGTTATTCATCTATGTTCATATGTGATATTTTAAATGTGTATGCCCTACGTATATACGTTGAAAAATAACGAGTGTGCTTAATCAGCCTATGCTATTTTCTAGTGTTAAATTATTATTATATATATTTTTTTAATTATTTCCTAAATAATAAGTAAACTCTAGAAATTAATAAGTATTTCAAACCCATTTTACTAATATTAAAGGGTGTATAAATACGTATAATATTATTTCCAAAAAATTATGTCTATAAATATATTAAAATAAAGTATTAAAAGGGATCGTGTAGCTCAAACTATTCTATTATTTTCACAAACCATCCTTTCTGAGATAATATATCCATGTAAATTTTGATGCGCTCATAAGAGGCAAAGGTAACAGCCTGACCCACACCTACACGCATTAAACGGGGAAATAATCCCTTGTATAAGGCAAAATACCCTTCGTTTTTGATTAGGTTCATTGTTACTGACACAACTTTGGACCACCCTTTGTCAGCGCTAACCGATCTCTGGATTCGCGTCTTTATGGTGTCAATGGGCGCATTAGCAATTGGACCTAATTAAATAGAAACAACATTTAATGATACGAATTATAAATGACTAAAAAGCACATTATAAAGATATTAATACCCATAGCGCCACTAATACCGCCCATCAACAAGTGCTGATAGGTTGGCAGTTCTTGACCATCCTTAGTTCCTTGAAACTTTTTCATGTGTTGTTTCATTTCTTGATATACGGTAAAATTAACTGCCTGATTTGTGGCTTGCCTAAGTGCAGTTAGTAACACTCCTTTATACAACGCTCGAACGCCTTCTTCTCTTACGATAGTGTACGCAGCATGTGCAGCATTACGATATTTTGGAATATCCAATGGATCGGCCATCGAATGACGTTGAGCTTGTAAACGGATCTTAATTACATCCATCGGAGTTACAACAAGAACAGCCTCCGTTGTGCCGGCGCCAAGTCCGGCTATGTATCATGAACAAATGATGGACAAGTGATAGACAACAAAATAAAAAAAATAATTACAAAAATTAACATATGATCAAGGTGCCTTGTGATGCGATAAGATAATGATAATCACAGATGGATCAATAAACAATAGATTAGAT